AGTACACAGCAATAATTATTTTATGTAGAACACACCCACAATACACAATTTCCCTTCAGGTCCATACATAAACTCCTCCCCTTTATTCCTGTAGCTGAGTGATAATCTAAAGGACCTTAATTTGATTTTCTCTCAGTTACAGGAAAATATACACAAAATCATAAAACACACATAATAAAAATACATAATAACAACACAAATTATACATCCTCAAACACCCCTGATCTGAGCGCTCAAGTTGTGCAAATAACACTCAGATCCATGCAGAACAGGGGAATTGCCACCGTGTTAAAGTTCTGACAGGCCGCACATGTGGTCCTATGCCCAAAACAGTTCTGGAGCATTTGGTGCTTTTGCTGGTCAACTTTCCAGGGCTTTAGCGGACAAACTACAGGGTGTTCCACCTGGATCGCAATCAGCATTTGTTCCCCATAGTTTCATGCACCTTCCCTCCATTTTCAAAGTGGTCCAAAATGCAGGACCAAGTTGACCGGTAACCGCATGGTCCCCTAGCCAAAAATAGTTCCATAGAATCACGGCTAAGTCCCCCTGAAGTCTATTCGCGGTTTTGAAGCAGGGATCTAGCATTCGGCTTCATGCGCACAAATGCAAAGTGCCGAACCAGGGGAAATAAAATAGGGGTCTTTACAGTCGCTGACCTGGCCCATAGTCGGTGGGCAGGAGGCCAGCTTCCACATTCCTCGAGGAGTCCATGGCAAATATTTGTAAAAAACTGCATTTGTCACACTTTACTTACCAATCTCCCTTGGCGCTAGGTCTGTGTTCCCTTTCCCTCTGACATCACACGATAAGGGTGGGGGATGGAGAGGGGGAGGAGCGAAGCATTGCTGAAATGGGGATTTGACTGATGCTGGATGTGCTCAATGTCCCCAGCATCAGGTGAGCAAAGGTTGCCTTACCACCAAGAAGTGCCTCTAGTGGATGTCTGACAGTCATGAGAGGCAGTTTTAATTCTGCAGTATAATTATTGCTGTTTCTCAAAAAATGGCAATAATTAACATTGCAGGGTTAAGGGGACAGGGACAGAGCACGCAGACCACTTTAATGAGCTAAAGTGGTCTAGGTGCCTATAATGTCCCTTTAAGACTGCCTGGACTACAGATGAAGCTGACCAGGGCTCCTGGTACTTATCTCTTCCCATCCTATTTATGTTCAAAAAGGTACTTATTAAGTGCTGGAAACAGAACGTGCCTACTCTGCCTAATGAGAAATACGGCCCTGGATATATCGATTTTATTAAACGTGTTTATATTTTTCTTTTATATTCTTTCCAATCAGGTTCTAATTTTCTATCATTACAATATATGGAACGACTATTCATTCTTGTGGCCAGGAAATAAAATGCCAGCACCATGGGCAAACACAACAAATGTTCACAAACTGATTCAGTTCCTAGAGACAACTCTTGGAGAGCGGTCAAAACGTGGAACATTCCATGTTTCTCAAGCTATTCTTACACCAAGAGCAAAAACCATTGTACGTGGATTGAAATCTGGATTAAAAAATACACTTGTACACAGGTAAAAATAAATACGTGTATTATTTGTTATTCATTTATTCTTATTTTGTATTTATAAAAAATATTTCAAACCACATTACAGTTGATAAATATCCAGTCAATTTAAACATTTTTGGATGTTTCTTATTTTCATATACTGGTTTCTAGACCTTTTCACGTGCATTAATGTTTTAATTCATCATGCACTGCCTAATCTTACCGACTAGACTCCAAGTGTTTATGATAAAACCATTGTCAGAAGATTGAAAAAAATACATGTTAAAAGGAAATAAGATTATATATACTTTAGCTAACATAGATTTTATTTTCTATGATGTATTTCTGCATAATTAGAGTGGCAAAGAGATTGTTATTAATTGCATGAATAAAATATTTAATCCAAAATTTATTTTGTGTTTTGGTGTTTAGTAAATAATCCTGCGTGTGTTTTTAAAACTGTCACATGTCTAGCAAGGCTTCTGCATGAATACTGTATATTACATTTGTTTTGAAGTTTTGATTTATTTCAAAATCTGATATGTATATCAACATTTTAACCCAGATCACTAAATCCTTATCTCAGCTAATGCTGACTGCCCACTGTTATTTAGAAAACAAAGATGGTCTTTTTTTTTTTAGAAATTGTACTTGAAATTGTTAGGGTTAATGTTAACATTACACTTTCAACAAACATCTGTTTAAATGTTACATCAAATATTAACATTCTGTCTTGTTTGTTTTTAGAAATCTTCCAGTGATTTTAAACTGGGTGAAAACGCAGAGGCCAGGTGCTTTGGGTGTTAACATAATCACATCGGATTTTGTAGAACTGGTCGATTTTGCAGAAACCGTTATAGGATTAAACTATTTGCTTTTAAAGGGAAAAAAAGACAGTAGTTAGCACAACAATTGTTACAGTGCTACCTGAATGGAAATTGAATCAGACTACTTGATCTTTAAGCATCATATGAAAAGCAGATATTACATTTTGAGATGTTAAATATCTTTTTGGAATGTAACCAGTGTGACAATGTCATCCTCTACCTTTGGCCTTATTTTCTACCTAGTGTTCACTTAAGGCCATCAAGTCAGATGTTTCCAATTATAGATTTTTCTGTGGTTAACAGTGTTTTTTATACAGAATGGTTTTATAAGTCGCCAGCCATAAAAAGTGAACAGGATCATGTAGCTCTAATCACGTCCTTCCAGTGCTCTACATAATACAATTTAAATGCAATGATTGAGACTTTCAATGATTTTAAAATTGTTTCTGTATTTTACAATTTTTTTGCCAATACTTTGCTTTTAAGTTATGCTTTATATTTATGATATTACGTCCTGTAATATGTTAGAATCCACCACATCCTACCATTCAGTATGCAAGGTACTATTGAAATCCCTTCCGGTAAAGGTTACTTTTCAATCATTTTCTAAAATTATCTACAAACAAAAACACATTCCTCTCTTTCTTCAATTTATCTTTTTTTTTCTTAAAACTGAATTTTTTGCACTTTTTTTTTTTAGCAATTTTTAACATTTCTGTTGGTGATAAAAAAATGTTTTTTTAACTTAAATATGAAATTCATAGAAGGTTTGTTCTAACTTTATAAACTAAAATGTCTAGATCTATTTTTAACAGCAAAATATACAGATCATAATATGAGGAAATTTGGACTTCATTCTCATCACAGAGAAACGCAATGGGCCTTTTGGAGAAAATAATCACTCTTTTCCTATCATCTAAATTATATTTTTATTAAATAATTTCTATGTTGTTTTGTTTTTTGAATCAAGAACAGCAAAGTGAAAGTTTGTATTAACTTAAATAAATTAAACATGTGAAAAAGCATTCTTTGTTCTTCTGTAGGTTAAAGGGACATGCATCCCTTTGTACCAACTTTCTCATTCAGTAGGTTTGCTTTTAAATGAGACAGTTGTCTCATATATATGCTTGGGGCAAACAAAGGGAAATCAATTATTGGTTGGGATATGTTATAAACCACCTAATGTAAATATTAATGAGGAAGAACAGCTGTTAGAGCAAACTGGGAAAGCTGCAAATTGGGGTAACACGTTAATTATTGGAGATTTTAATTACCCGGACATAAATTGGGATAGAGGGACTAGTACTTCAGCAAGGGGAATCAGGTTTTCAAATGTGTTAAATGACATCTTTATGTCATTTAACACGTACAAGCACCAACTAGAAAGGATGTTTGTCTGGATCTCGTTATAACAAACAATGTTGATCTTTTAACCAACATTCAAGTAAGGGAGCATTTGGAAAATAGTGATCACAATATGGTAATTTTGTAAATAAACTCAAAAAAGCAAAAGCACGTGGAGTATACTAACATTTAAAAAAAGCCAATTTCAATAAGATTAGTGCAGCTCTACAACATATCGACTGGCATAAACACCTTAGTGATAAAAACACTGAGGATAAATGGAAACTATTCAAACAAATATTAGAAAGGTACATTTCTCAGTATGTACCATTGGGTAATAAATATAAAAGAAACAAATTAAAACCAATGTGGCTTAGTAGAGAAGTAAAACATGAGAATAAGAAAAGGGCATTTAAATCGGAAAAAACAGAGGAATCCTATATAAGGAAGCCAATAATGCTTGCAAAAAGGCAATTAAAGTTGCTAAACTAGAAAATGAGAACTTGATAGCCAAAGAAAGCAAAACCAACCCCAAATTTTTTTTCATGTACATCAATTCTAAAAAAACAAAAAATGAAAGTGTAGGTACACTGGAAACAGAGATGGGTTTGTTAGCTAATGAAGACCAGGGAAAAGCAGAAATTTTAAATAATTATTTTTCTTCAGTATATATTAATGAGGATCCTATGGCAAGAGATATGCAAATAATTGCTGCAAAAAACTTGCAGATAACTTGTGATTGGATAACTCGAGACAAGATGCTCGAGTTGTTGTACAACGAGTTGTCATTAATGGTAAATTTTCAGGCTGGACAAACGTGGTAAGTGGTGTCCGTCAGGGTTCTGTTTTGGGACCGCTTTTATTTAACATATTTATAAATGATCTTGAAATAGGCATTGAAAGCCATGTATCGGTCTTTGCAGATGACAAAACTTTGTAAAGTAATAAAATGTGAGCAGGATATTGCTTTGCTGCAGAGGGATTTGGATAGATTGGGGGACTGGGCACTAAAATGGCAGATGAATTTTAACGTAGAGAAATGCAAAGATATGCACTTCGGGGTTAAGAATGCACAAGCAATTTACACCCTAAATGGTAGTGAATTAGGGATAACCACACACGAGAAAGATTTAGGAATTGTTATAGACAACAAATTAAACAGCAATATGCAATGTCAATCTGCAGTTGCTAAGGCCAGTAAGGTTTTGTCATGTATAAATAGGGGCATAAATTCTCGGGATGAAAATATAATTTTGCCTCTTTATAAATCACTGGTAAGACCACACCTTGAATATGCTATGCAATTTTGGGCACCTGTTCTAAAGAAAGATGATATGGCACTAGAAAAAGTGCAAAGACGAGCTACAAAATTGATAAAAGGACTGGAGTATTTTAGTTACGAAGAAAGGTAAAAAAAATGAAATCTGTTTAGTTTGGAAAAACGGTGCCTGAGAGGGGATATGATAACATTATACAAATATATTCGGGGCCAGTACATACCTTTATCTGGAAATCTATTCATAAACAGGGTTATACATAGGACACGAGGTCACACATTTAGCCTGGAAGAAAGGAGATTTCGTCTAAGGCAAAGAAAAGGGTTTTTTTTACAATAAGAGCAATAAGGATATGGAATTATCTGCCTGAAGAGGTGGTTTTGTCAGAGTCTATATAGATGTTTAAATTGCAATTGGATAAATACTTGCAAAATTAGTGGGGTAATAACTGCTTGATCCAAGGATAAATCTGACTGCCATTCTGGGGTCAAGAAGGAATTTTTTTCCTAGCTTGTTGCAAAATTGTGCTTCAAACTGGGTTTTTTTGCCTTCTTTTGGATCAACAGCAAAAAACAAATGTGAGGAAGGCTGAACTTGATGGACGCAAGTCTCTTTTCAGCTATGTAACTATGTAACTATGTAACTATGTAACTATATATACCGTAGCAGGTGTAGTTCCCTGGATATATAGTAATACCCTTTTTTTGTTTGATGTTCTTAGTCACAATTGGGTATTCCTTTTTCCACTCCACACGCTGACTGATTAGTCTTGAGGGTAGTATAGAGGCTTAGAAAACACAATTCTATGTCGGGTTGGGTCTGGCTCCTCCAGACATAGCAGTTAGTTCTGTTGTGTTTGTTAGCATTATATCGCATCCATTCAAGCCATAGGTTAGTGTCAGAGAATCCTGTCTCTGTAGCCATAGTATCTTCAAATGTAGGGTTTGCTATGGCTACCATGTCCTTAAAGGTCTGAATGTGGGGTTTAAGCGGGTTAGTAATTACATGTCGGGAAGCTACCCACTTGGGTGACTGATACATATCTTGTAGGTAGAAAGTTCCCTGTTTATTATAGGAGCCCCCCCCCCTTCCAATACATTCCCATTACATACTCGCTAGCATCTCCGGGGCTGGGATGTTCTATGTTTAGGGTAAGTTTCATTGGGGTCGCCCCTCACGGTTTTCGTAAACTCATTCTGAGTAATAGGGACTCCCCATTTCTCTCCAACCTATCTAAGGAACTCGGTGGTTTGTAGCCCCAAGCTGGTCCTGCATTCCAACCCGCTGCCTGCCAGGAACTACAGTCATGTCCCCAGTAGTCGTCTGTAACACATATGTATGGGTCCTTTATGTTGGGAATGTCTTTGTATACTGTTTTTACCAATGATTGTGGGAATGTACATCAGACAATATCACAATAATCAAATGTAAAGGTGGCCACATGTATGTTAGATGAGTTGTACCAAAAAGTGTAAACATTATCATCTTTAGTAATGGCAACTTGTTGAGCCCTAGTATGGCCTAGCAGCAAAAGTATGAACAGGATAATCATGGCATGGATCCAGGTGCTCTTCCTGGCCAATTTAACAGATGTGGCTGTGACTAGGAGGACTTGGAAGGGACCATCATATCTTGGCTCAAGAGTGTGCTTTCTCACAAATTTCTTAACAAGAACCCAATCACCAGGAAGTAATCGGTGGGTGCCTTTGTCAGACTCTGGATCTGGAATGGAAGAAAACACTTGTGCATGGATTTTGGTCAACGCTCGGGACAGGGCAGTTACATAGTCAACCAATATATCAGACTGGAGTTGAAGTTTTGGGGGGAAATAGCACCCAAGTCTAGGGGCTGAACCAAACAGAATCTCATAAGGGGATAAAGCAAACCTCCCTCTTGGTGTGTACATTAATAGAGCTATGGGGAGACTCTCTGGCCAGGGCAAGTTAGTTTTTTGGGCCATTTTTAGAATTCTGGCTTTTAAGGTGCCATTTATGCGTTCTACCTTACCACTACTCTGTGGGTGATAGGGTCTGTGGAATGCAAGGGTCACCCCCAATGCTGCCCAGATCTCTCTGATTACTGATGCAGTGAAGGCCGGTCCCTGGTCACTTTCTATTACTTCTGGGACTCTGTATCTGCATACAACTTCGGTGAGCAGGCGCTTGGCTGTGGTCTTGGCTGTCACGTTGGTAACTGGGTAGGTCTCTGGCCATCCTGAGAACATGTCCACTGTGACTAGTGCATATTCATACCGGCCACTCTTTGGCATTTGAATGTGGTCAACTTGGATTCTTTGAAAGGGGTAGTGAGGTTTGGCTAGATGCTTCCGGGGAGCTTTT